AAATTGAACAAGTGATTTTTCTAACTCATTTAAATTAATTTTGCAGAAAACGTTAGCTACTTAAGGAGAATAAGTAGTACAGTTGAGTATGATAACATTTTCTATATTTCCTGAACCCACCAGATATTGCCTTCGTCAACAAATCAAAAAGCTGTCATGTCATAAAACCGATATGTATTTCTGAAGAATTTAACAACCACTTTGCATCTGAATACTAGGTCGATACTGTTGTAGGAGCTTGGATAAAGAAGGCTGGCTAATACGAGATTTTTGTTCTGCAGAGATGAAATATCAATCGATAATGCCTATAACCACAGTACACACGTCGAAAATTTGTATTCCAGGAAATAGCGTTTTTCGCTATACTTTGTGGCCCTCAGTCCTTGTTCAGACAAAATTAGTCTGTAATTCAAAGTCTTTTAAATAGATCAACTATTATAATCAACTTATCTTAATAATGCAATTTTATGGCTGGCGGTGAAATCCAGGATCTGCGATCGGTTTTATTTTGTACTCGTCAGCTAGATATATCTATATCACAGATTTAACGTTCACAACGGTACTCGAACCCAGTACCAAGTACATTCTCACATTATCCACTCAACTGATGATTCAAGATAGCCACTGGCTGATGTGAATGTAAAGCCTCTGTAGGATTTCATTTATTGACAGATGAATTTCTAGAATAAGTCCCCTATACTATTGCACACAGTATCCTTGAAGGGCTGTACTTTGAACAGATAACTATATCCATAGTCAACATTTATAATCTATTTCTCAGATGTATATTCATAAAATTAGTAGGAAAACCATTATCAAAGTCGAGATTTTCAATACAGATGTCAAGACAGTTAAATTGTGTGGTGCTAAAACTTGGAGCACTAAACATCCTAAACATACGTATGTTTATTAACAGTTGTCCATACAAAATACTTCACATCTACTGGCCAGGCACTATCAGCAACAACCTACTGTGGGAGAGAACAAACTGGATTCCAGTGGAGTAATAAATAAGAAAGAAGCGCTGGAAGTGGATAGGACACACATTACGGAAAGCTCCTAACTGCATCATAAGACAAGGCTTCACTTGTTACCCTCAAGGTTAAAGTAAAAGAGGAAGGCTAAAACAAGAACAGTTTAGCTTAACTAACTATAAGGGAAAGAAGTAGATAGGGGAACACATCAAACCTGGACTTGAAAGCAGACATGAAAAGAATGATTAACGTAGGATAGAGTAGGTTGTAGAATACTGTTCTGTAGTCTATGCTTTATTAAAGGCAACAGGCATAATGAATTAATCAAGTGTTGGGGACGTTAGATCCTCAGAACTCGCTTGATAAATGTTTTAATTTTGGATTTTATTCATGGGCTGATCAGTTGACCTTTAGATCACATTTCCCACCAGGAGAATCCCTGGATGTGATTGGTTACTGTGTTATTTTAATATGCTATTTTTTTAAATCTCTCAAGGATGTTTCTATGATGTATAAATAAACGCGATTTGTGGGCTGGGTGTTTGTAGAATACACTTCTACGCTATATCAAGACTTTTTCTTCACTTAGTTGGGAAAACGGATCACAGTAGCCTACCGTGTCATTGGTTCATTGTCTCGTTTTAGTTTATCGACTAAGGTGAACTCGTAATAGTTTCAAGCATGTCAAGTGACGAGCATAACAGTAAGTAAGTGAATAAGTAGGTGAGTGAGTGAGTGAGTAAGTGAGCAAGCAAGTAAGTAAGTAATTAAGTAAGTATAAAATGTAGTTAACCAGATATTTTTTGTGAAAAACAACACTAATCGATATTCAGGTTTGTAAATCATATTTTCAAACAAAATTTTCATCTAACTGTAGCTTATAATTTCCCATCTTTAACTATATTCGATTATTCAGAAATGCATCAATGGTGTCTATGATTTTTTTAGATCATATTTAGTTTTTAAAAAAAATTCTAACACAGTAATGAAGAAAACTTTCGACATTCAACGTGAATTCTCGTAATCGTTTAAAACAAACTATTGTCTATCGCTTATTCTGATTCTTTAATTTGGTCATGAATCCTCTATCTGGTCTAACGACAGTGAGTCAGTCAGTTACAACGTGTAGAACTTCGTACGTACGTACATCGGTGCAGTCTGCCATACCACATCAGTACAGAGACGAAGTTGTCAATAGTCATTGCCTTCATGGTTCTGTGTCGTGTTTTGATTTGGCCGACCCTAGCATTCTTCCAGCCTACCCGTGGACCACAAAATATAGCTCGTCGAGGCAGTTGGTTGTTAGGCATATGTAACACATTTTCCAAGCACCTCAACCGGTGAAGATTCACTACTTCATCTACTGATCTGCCATCCTTACTTAGTACTCCTTTCCTAACAACAACAGTATTGTTTACTCGGTAGTCCAAGGATATACGAGCAATGCTTCCAAGACACCTATGGTTGAAAACCAGTAACCTGCGAATATCCTCTACTTTGTGTGTGGTGTGCCGTTCAACTGTCCACAATCCACTGCCAGGATCAACTCAGACGTTCATTTAGTCGTTGTGTAGAAAGAATATGATGGATAAAGTATATTGATAAAACCACCCATTTTACACTTCACTAATTGACAAGAAACGCATTTTATTAAAAAAAAAACCAGTAGTAATTGGTTATTTCAAATTGATCACTTTCAAAATCATTTCTCACCTGTTCTGATTTTGTTGTAAGAGGATGAGGAAAATCTTCTAAATTGAACACATAGATTGTACCTTGGTCATCACCAATCAATACACTCTTGAGAAATAAAAGATTTTTTAAAATTTAAAACAGAGATGGTTGATTTTTCATTGGTCATTTATGGTGAAATGCATAACATATTACTGAACCAGATTTCATTGAAGTTACACGTATAAAAATATATATATATATATTGGAAACCGGATCAGCACTGTGAAGAATAAGTGTGGTATATGTAAAAAGACCGGTAAAAATATAATTATCTTGATGACCTCGATGCAACCAATCAGAATAAAATTAACTCTCACATAGTTTGTGCGAAATTTAACAGTGCCAGCAATCGATAACTTACGTGTATATTATGATTCGGATTACGGGGTTGTAAAGATTGTTAAGTTGCACAATTTTGAAACCATGAATCGATCAATGTTAGACCACCATTGGAAACCTGGAAGCATTGGACGGCCGTTTCGTCCTGGTATGGGACTCCTTCGAATTCTAGTGGGAAGACGTGACCAGTGAAGTTCAACCTGTTCGGGTGTAGACAGTAACTACCGAAGACTGTGTATGAGGTTGCGCAACCCTGTGAATAGATCAAGTTAGACATTAACACCGTTAGATGCCCCGCCCAGTGGTCCAATGGTTAGGCGTTAGCGCACAATACCGAAGGTCCTAGGTTTGAATCCTGCGGGGTACAGGAGTCGTGGATGCGCACTACTGAGGAGTCCCATGCCAGGACGAAACGGCCATCTTTCAGTGCTTCCAGGTTTCTAATGGTGGTTTAACATTGGTCGACTCATGGTTTCAAAAATTATTCTATTATTATATTATGATTAACAAGGAAGAAATTTATTGAAATCATGAACTGGTCAATGTTAGACAACCATTATAAACCTGGAAGCACTGGGTGGCCATTTCGTCCATCCACGACTCCTACACCCTGCATGGTACGGACTCAGGGATTTTGGTCTTGCGGGCGAACGCTTAACCTTTAGTGGCATCCAAGTTTCTAATGGTGGTCTAACATTGATCGGTGCACGATTTTGAATAAGCAGCTCAACAATATTCACAACCCCAAGTAGAAACTGGCAATCGATGGTACTCAAACTGCTTGAAATCTATAGGAATTTTTATTATAAAACTGAAAAGTTAATTTAACATGATGATGATGATCACTAAGCTTATAGTGAAGGAGGACACAGGTGAGGGCAACCGAATTGTATTTAACGAAAATTACAGAGTTACTCAGTAAAATCGGAAAACCATATCGTTACCGTTAATTTGCAAATCTTCAATCAATCATCAATCCATTGTCTGACATTTCACTATTCATGCGTTTCATACAAATTCCATTGTGTTCCCACTCTTCCTTTCTTCCCATCTTCTGCTGCCAGACATTACGTTTTTACTCGCGTCATATACTACTTATAAGTAGCGCTCAATACAAGCTGACACAATTACGCCTAATGCAAATTGAATGCTATGATTCCATGCATTGTCAATAGTGTTTATTAGTGAAACTTGATAATATCATTTCTTTCTAATTTTTACTGTATTTGACAACTATAATTCTCCTAAGTTTGTAAACAGTAGAATGACTAAACTAACCTTACTTAATGTGGAAAACTAAATTGCAGAACTCCAACTTTACTTCTCAAACCTATGACACTGTCGCCTTCAGCATCATAGTTGGTGTCTCTTGGTGACTAAAACTCTTGTAGATTGATGACCGTAACTTATAACACTAGCCAGACTTTTAATAGGTGAACATAGCGTTTTCCTTGCACTGCAAGGTATAATTCGACTTATGGAGCTGTTATGTGCTGAATCACTACTCAGTGTTACCTGATTGGCTGATAGGCTGTTCAAGGTTGTCAATATAGTATACATTTCCCAATATTATTTTTACAAAACTATGATAAAAAAGGTGTTTTCTAAGTTATGTGATCGAATATCATGTAATTGAATATCACAGGAAATCGGTGGGGAAAATAATAAATATGAGAGTAGTCAAACAAAAATGAGACTTTTATCAGTACATAAAAATCATTGGTTGATAAATTGGACCACCAGAGATCTATATACAGTTTGAGATCTGAGCGGTAATTGAGAATTTGAAATGAAATGTATCACAAATCAATAGCAAATATGTGCAGAAGCAGGGATTATTTACTGACCTACTTATTATTATGATATACAAACTTCATGTCTTAGTTACTTTTTCACACTAATATTGAGTTTAAGTATTACACATGGGATTGAAAATTTCACGATTCATTAAACTATTTTGTTTATCTAAAGGTCAGTGATAATGTAACCTAGGTCAAGTGGAGCATCTTATCAACTGACTACAATCATTCCATTGCTTCAGTATAAAATTCATTCGACATTTAATCGAATGACCAGATTGGAAGTTGAACAACATACACCAATTAATGAGATGATTACACATGGGATTGAAATGTTCACCATTCATTCACTAATTTGTTTATCTAAATGTTAATGATGAAATTTTCTTTTTCAATGAAACTAACTAGTAGTTAGTCTTGCATTGAAATACCAAAGATATCTCAGAATAACATAATTCTATTCCATTTTAACATCAATTCACAACTTATCACGTTCAATCATTGTGGTATGTGAATGCAGAATGAAGTTTTAAAAGTGAATACCGAGTGTTGTTGAGTTGTATGGATTACCGAAATGAAAATGCGAAAACCGTTCACGTTGATTCACGTTGACAATGAATTGATGAATTCAAAACCAAACAACCACACAACCATACAAATTCCATGCGAACAAAATTGTTTTTCAATGCGTTTGAATTCAATCAATAAATAAGATGCATACCATAAAGATGATTTATGATGCATGAGATGAATTGACAATTGAATGTAATTCGAACTTGTTTAAATGAATGCATAGATAACATCAAGCATACAATATGAAATGAATGATGACTACTCACAACACTAGTTTTGAATATTGATCAATACCCAATGACATAATTCATATGGATAGATGAAAACCAAAACGACTGAATTTCCAGGATTTGGTCCGAACGTTCAGCTAGCGAATCAAAGTTCGTTCGATTAGACCGAACTACGTTTTTTTCGGTATAGTGGTGTACAAGGTATTTTTCAGTGACTTGTATTAAATTGTGTTAAAACACAAACTCTGTGCTCAGTGTGATAAATGGTCCTAATTTAAGCAAGAAACCGAATTATATGGAAGCTATAAACTACCTTTAAAAAGTTCAGCCTGTGATATACAGTCACAGATTTCTCTAGCCTAATCAATGAGGGTATTTCCAATAAGATGGGATCAAAGATCTACCCGCAAGGATTTGAGCAATCGTTTTCAGCAGGCAGTTATAGGTCACCAATAATAGAAGTAAACATTGATCGAAATTCAATACTACAGAGGCGCTACGCAATGAGGTTAATGTCTAACTTAAATCAATGCACGATGTTGGGTAATGCTTCATTCATTCCTTATGGTGGATAACTCTTTCCTACAACACAGATTGTCACTAGTATCTCATCTTGAAACTGTAGTTACTAGTGAGCATATGATTGATATTAGTAAAGGGAATTTGTGGAAAGAGTATTATTATTTTCAGAGTTGAAATCTAGTGCTAGTCTAGCTAAGATCAGTTCATGATTTCAACTGTTAAAATGACTCTGAGAATGAAATCAATCGATCAATCGAAAGCTCATTATGGAACCATATTGGTGATCGATTTTAAGTGATTGGAATGTTGGATTGCATGTTTACTGGGATAGATTTTTTGTACTTAATACAAGACATCACTATACCATATAATGATGGTGTACATTGTTGATGAGCCCAAAATTAAGACTGGACGACTCTTCAGTATTGTGAGAGTTTTCGTTAAGAGTTTGCCAGATATTAAGCTATGATTTCTGTAGAAGTCAGAAATCGTTATTATGAGGTCTCTTTTGTCCTAGTATTATGGTGATGGTTGTTTCTTTCACATTGAAATCATGAATAAATCATTGTTAGACCAACATTAGAAGCATGGAAACACTGTACGACTGTTTTTGTCCTGGTATGAGACTCACCAACAGTGTGCATCCACGATCTCCATAATACTATGATGCAAAATCAAAAAATGTGCACACTAGTGACTAGTTTCGTGAGGGAATTCTCGAAGTTCTGGTGATAACCCTTGACCAGTGGAGTTCCACCCTGTTGGGTGTAGGTAGTAACTACTGAAGATAGCAGGTGAGCTTGTTTAGAATCCTTTGATTGATCAGAGTTAGACATTAACACTGATGGATTCTGGCCGGCTCAGTGGTCTCGAGGTTAAGCATTCGCGCGAAAAAACGAAGGTTCTGGGTTTTAATCCTGCGAGTAGCATGAGTCTTGGATACGTACTGCTGATGGGTCGTATATCAGGACGAGACGATTGTCAAATGTATCCAGGTTTCTAATGGTAGGCTGACAATAATCCATTCATGATCTCCCCTACTTCTGATACTCATAGGATTCGAACCCAGGACCTTCAGTCTTGTGCACGAATGTTTAACACTTGGACCATTGAGCCGGCCGGTATCCAACGATTTCTACAGTTCCCATTCAATGTGTCTCCAATAAAAAACCATACAACATAAATTGGTTAGTCTGTTTTACGTTAAAAACACTGAACACCAACATGATATGCTAATCTTATGATTGATTAATTTTCAGGTCACATTACTCTTTTCCCAAATTTACAGCCAATTTTTCCATAGAATAAATACCAACTGTGTCTGTCATATAGCAAGCTTCATCAATAAAATGTGTGATCTTTCTCGTTTGATTAGTTAGAGATAAATATATGTATGTATGATTGTTGCCTATGATTGTGTTGTTGACCCAAAAATTCCAATTTTCCGCTAAATACATCAAAATCGTTGGGCAAGGCAACTAACTAACTAACTAACTAAGCAATAAAACACAATAGGATGTAAGTTGACGTACTTGTATGTACGTATGTGTTGGTGAGTGAATGCTTTTAGATGGTACAAAGTGGGATAGAGAGAGTGAAAATGTCAAAAGTAAGTAGACACATCAAAAAATCTGTAAAATTGATTAGCAAAAAATGATGATTGCTGTTCATCCATCATGATGATGTGTGTATTCACGACTGGCCAGCCATTAATCATATTTTTTTCCAGTTTGTGTTGTTGTTACATTGGTGTTATGCTCGCCACCCCACCCCGCCCCCGTCAAATCTGTTGTTACCTTCAACATACAACATACACCACATTCAAGATTATCACTGTTATACATCTATATGTAAATCGGTAGATAGAATCAAATGGCATTTAGAGCTAGGTGGGGAGACAGGGAACACACAGTTTCTCTGTGTGTTTGACCAAGTGTGTAAGTTAGTCAGAGTGAAAAAAAACGATGGATGCATTTTTTTACTGATTGCTTTCCTGTGGTGTTTTCTTCTCTCACCCTCTTTGAAATTTTTCAATATTCCCCCTTCCCCTCCCCCTCCCACCAACCAATAATTTTTTCTCTGATTTGAATTTTTCATACACACACCTTTAAAACAACTTAAACAAAATTGATTTTGACTTGAAAAATAAAAGTTGCCATAGTAACTAAGCTAAAAATGCATTTTGGAAATTGTTGCTTAGTGAAATAAATCAAAATCTATCAGTGTACCCCAGGAACAAACGAACAAACAGACAAACGCACTCCACACATATACACATACAGAGAGATAAAATTGCTATTTAGTTACTATCCTCTGTCATGAAAACAACAACAATAATAGCACGAATTTAAAATATCTAAGTGGTTTTTATAGCCTTTGTTTTCTGTGTAAGAGAGATGAATGAAAAAATATAAAGTTCTCACACGTAAACACAAAGAATGGATCGATCTAAGAAGAGAAGAGAGATGTTAGTTGTATTTTGAAAAACAATGCTTAAAAGTTCCGCGATTTCATTTAATATATGTAGGTAGGATGACGTTGATTAGAACTACTTTAGGTAACTTTTAAACAAAATAATTTATATTACAGGGTTGTGGAGATTGTTAAGTTACGCATTTTTGAAACCATGAATCGATCGATGTTAGGCCACCATTAGAAACCTGGAAACACTGAGAGACGGCCCTCTTGTCCTGGTACGGGACTCATCAGCAGTGCGCATCCATGACTCGTGCACACCGCAGGATTCAAACCCAGGACCTTCGGTATTGTGCGCTAACGCCCTAACCGCTAGACCACAGGGCCGGTATCTAACGCTGTTAATGTCTAGCTTTGATCAAATTCACGGAGTTGTGCAACTTCATACACAGTATTCGGTAGACACTGTCTTGGATGGAATTGATCGATTGATGGTTTCAAAAATGTGTAAAGTAACTTATCCAAATAAGTAAGAAAAACAACAACAACTGATAATTGAATCTTGAACATGTTAATCAATAGTGTACAAAGCACAATCAAGTTTTTCAATATAGAAGTTATGGAGATTGTTGTTTACTACTAATTGAAGGTGGTGGGTTCGAATCCGGTGGGTAGCAGAAGTTGTGGATGTGCACTGTTAATGAGTCCCATACTAGGATGAAATGGCTGTCCAATGCTTCTGGATTACTAATGGTGATCTAACAGTGTGATTCATCGAGACTTAGGCAGTAAACAATCAAATTTACCAATGACATTTAAACTGAATTTATAAGTAATCAAAGCTACGATTTAAAAAAACATCCTGAAATTACAAATATGATTCAAAACACTAGTTAACTTCATTTGATAGAAATTATTTACTGAAATCACGAATCAATCATCGTTAGACCATCATTGAGAAACCCAGAAGCACAAGATGGCCTTTTCGTCGTAGTGTATGGGACTAACCAGTGGCAGTGCGCATCCACGACCCTTGTCCACATGCGGGAATCGAACCCAGAGCTTTTGATTTCGTGCCTGAATGCTTAATCTCTAGAATACTGAGACGGTGGCATCCAGTAGTGCTAAAGTCTAACTTTAATCAATCCAAGGTATTTTGCATGACCTCACCTATTGTCTTTAGTCAGCAACTGCCTGCAGCCACGGCTTATCACTAGAAACTCCAAGAATCTCGTCAGGAAGCCGGTCATTAGTAATAGAATTGTGAAGATTATTGAGTTTCATTGAAATAAAGGTAGACATTAACACCGTCCGATGGCTTTGCTCAGTGATCTAGAGGTCAAGCGTTCATGCGCAAAACTGAGGGTCCGTTGTTTGATTCCGATGAGAGGAAGTCGTGGTTACCCACTGCGAATGAGCTTCGTACTAGGGTGAAATTAAATTTTCACAATTAAAATCACAAACTAATCTTAACTAGATCATTATTGAAAGCCTGAGAGCATTAGGCAGCTGTTTTGTTTTAGTGTGGGACTTCTTAGCAGTGCACATCCACCACTGCACAGGTTGGGAATCAAACTTAAGACCATCGGTCCAACGTATGAACGATTGATCTGTTGGACTATTGAGGCGGCATCAACACAATCTTACGATTTGTTCAGTGATTCCAGTGACACAATGTCACTGTTGTGCAATCTGACTGAAATTGGAATCGTATCATTGGACATTGATTTAGTGATTGTTCTAACGGTTCTAACGAATTTATTGAGAGAACCGGAAGTTCAAAGTTCCATCCCTACTGGTATTCTAAGTATGTACTGCTGAGAGATATCATAGCAGGATGAAATAGCTTTTCATAGCTACGTAGCTTTTAATGATATCGTGAAGGAAATGGAACCTTCATTTGTTTAATCTAGCGATCAAAAGCGTAAGCCGATTAACACTGACTACAGAGTATGGCGTCAATTACCTCTTCTTCATGACCAAGTGGTACAAATATTTATGCGATAAGTTACAATCCTTATAGACAGAGACAAATAGTGGCTAGTGGTACTATATGGGACGGTAACTTGGAGAAGTACAAGCGCCATGATCCGGAAGATACAAGTGTTTATTAACAGTTGTCCACACAGAATACTTCGGATCCGCTGACCTGATACAATCGACGACAACCTACTACGAGAGATAAATAAATCAGCTTCATACTGAGGAAGAAATTTGAAATAAGCTCTGGAAGTGGATAGGACATAAATTTTGGCAGTCACCCACCTGCATGCATCATGAGGTAAGCCCTAATTCGGAGTCTTGAAGGTGAAAAGACAAGAGGTAGATCAACGAACACACTGCTTCGACAACCCGAGACAGACATGAGATGAATGTAAGTAAGTAAGTAATTAAGTAGTGTTTATCATGGGCAGATAGATTAAGTCATGAATGGTTTGTGCCACTAACTAATTTGTCCAAAAGGGCTACTGATAACCAGAAAGCAATCTTATTCATAACATTTTTCTGATTACTGTTTCTCACAATATTGTTTGATTTGTATATAATGTGGTACATTTTACTGCTATTAACTACAAAGTCATGGAGAAGCATTACAGAAGAGTCCCATACTTAAAAATGAAACGACCATCGAGTACATCCAGGTTTCTAATAATCGTCTAACACTATTCAGTTGGTGATTTCAATGAAACTCAACCATCTCCACAACTCTTTACCAACTGTTCAATGTTTCATGCTTTTCAGCGCTTGTTTTAAAGCAGATCACTGTGGGATACAAACGGAAATTTACTTAAATTAAAGACTTTTAACAAATAATTTGCCGGCCCAGTGGTCCAGAGGTTAGGCGTTCGCGCACAATACCTAAGGTCCTGGGTTCGAATCCTGCGAGGCGCAGGAGTCGTAGATGCGCACTGCTGATGAGTCCCATACCAGGACGAATCGGCCATCCAGTGCTTCCAGGTTTCTAATGGTGGTCTAACAATGATTGATTGATGATTTCAAATGCATAATTTCTAAACTAGTTTTATCACTTATACTGGTATCGATTTACGTTAGAGCGATTTATGCAAACTGGTAGATTTCATCTGTATGATCTGTAAACTATTTTGCATAGCCCTACACCTCTCATCAACATGTTTGTAAAGTGCATTTTTAAAAAAGGTTGATTGGTCAACAGAATGCGATCACAGTGTGTGTGTATGTGTGTAAGTAAATGCCAAAATATATAAAACAGCGCATCCACATAGTAACAAATAGACCAATCAAAACGATGGTGTACATTTAAATACCCTTATTCATGATCGTCTGTGTGCATGTGTGTGTGTGTGTACTTGCGTACATGAGCGCATCTAGGTGCACAATGTATTATTCCTCCCTATTATGATATATGTAACCAATCTGTACTTAATTGTACATATTTAGTTGTGTGCAGAGTGAGAGAGTGAAAACAGACCATTGTTTTTCCAATAAGTTAGTCTATCCATCCATCATCTTGTTTGTGCAAACGTAAAATTTTTCAATACATTTTCATTTAGTTAGAATCAATTTAATCTGAAAGAAATTCTATTTGTAATGCCATAAATTAACACAACAATCAAGGAAATCATCAGTACACTTGGATATTGAATATTGAATTTATTATATCTATTATTAATCGAAATGTCAATGCATACTTCTTCTTATCGTAAACGTAATTGGCCGACTGATCCAGAAGATGATTATTCATTCAATTATACTCAGCATCATTCTGATTTTAATCAATGTTCAACAATAATCCATGATAATAATAATAATAATCACAATATTGAACATTTAACAATATCTCAACAATCACCGTCAACAATACAGCATCAACCACCGATTAAACGTGTAGCCAATGAACGTGAACGTACACGTACAGCTAGTGTGAATGATGCCTTTCTAATGTTGCGTAGTTTAATACCCACAGAACCAATTAATCGAAAATTATCAAAAATTGAAACATTACGCTTAGCTTCATCGTATATATCACATTTACATGCGATTCTTGTCACTGGCTCTGGACCAGCTGATCAACCATGTTTTAAACAACATCAACAATTTAACAGTGATGATAATGATGATGATTGTAGTGAGAATGTAGATGATAAACATCACATTGGTTTCAATCATCCTCATCCACATCAACATCCCCATCCACATCATCATCATAAACGTTATCGACCAGTGTGTACATTTTGTGTCACTGAAATGAAACACCATCAACGACGTACAATGATGAATAAAGACGCCATTATTATATCGAATGGACAATAGATAAAAAAAAACCAAGAGAATAACATTTTTCTTTTCAATGATGATAATTGTGAGAAAAAATTGTTCCCCCCATTTTTTCCCTTTTCAGATAAACAAAATCTGTAATGTACAGTCAGTCATATTATGACTATTAATTTGGGTTTCTTTTTGCATCTTACTTCATTCAAATGCTCACAAGTAACACATTTGAATAAATATAAAATATATATAAATATATTAAAGATAGAAAAGAATTTTTTCTATTGTTTAAATGGATAGTTAGTTAGTTAGATGCAAACATGAGTTAATCCAGCGCAATGTGATCGATCATTGAACAGTGAATGTAACCTTGGATCTACACTAACCAAGAATATTGATTGTAAAGGAGGTAGTTTCACACAAAAAATCGATATATTAATAATAATAATAATAAATATTATGGTTACTACTACTATAACAATAAATATTAATTATTATTATTATTATTATTATTATTATTATTAACCTTAGTATTATTACATTTAGTCATTTCATGATGGGGTTGTGAAGATTGTTTAGTGGCACATTTTGAAACCATGAATTGATCAATGCTGGACACACCATTAGAAACCTGGAAGCACTGGATGGTTGTTTCATCCTGGTATGAGACTCATCAGCAACGCGCATCTACAACTCTTGCATCTAGCAGAATTCGAACCCGTGACCTTCGATATTGTGCGCGAACGCCTAACCTCTGGACCACTGAGCCGGTATCCAACGGTGTTAATGTCTAATTTTGATCAATTCACGGAGTTGCACAACCTCATACACAGTCTTCGGTAGTTAGTGTTTATACCTGAATAGGTTGAGCTTCATTGGTCACAACTTCCCACTAGAACTCGGAGAAGATTCCTCACGAAGCTAGCCACTAGTGAGCACAGGTAATTTGTATACGGGTTTGTGAAGATTGTAAGTTTATGAAACCATGAATCGATCATTGTTAGATCACCATTAGAAACCTGGAAGCATTTTTCACATGAGCGAAATAAAATCGATCTTTTAAAAATGGCGGTTTATTTTTAAGACAAAATAAAAAGTCCATGAAAATGACAATCTACTGAAACAATATTTGTTGACTAATATGAAAATTAGTGATATGATCAAATTGTGATTTTTTTGACAAGAATTTTAATGTTTCATGTGGTTGTTTATAAAAAAATAAATTGAGTTGATAACACTTACTCAGAGGTTCTATATGACAATTAGTAAAATAAGTAATACTTGTCAATTGTGAGAATAGAAGACGATTGCCATAGTATCTTTAATAGACTGAAATCAAAACTTTGAACTATTCTAGGTGTCGGTTCAGTTTTTTAAATTTTACCTGAATTCAATTTGCGATAAAGATTGTAGGTGTCACAATGATTGAGAAGTTTCCTACCGAGATAAACGCAACTGTTTGGTGCATTCTGGTCTCACTGATTTGGCAGTATGACTACAGAACCCAAGGAAAAACAGCTTGAGGCCAGTCACGTACAGCCTTTTCGTGGTAGATTTTTGATGTGCTGACTTCACATTTCTAAAGGCCTTAATGTCAGAGATGAAAATCTGTAGGATAAGGTGATATTGTTGAGGTCGACCTGTTTTGAGAAGGCAGCACCACTACAGATGCTTATTGTCTGGGGAACACACCTTACTGCCGTTACACTTCTCAACAGTCAGCAGTATGAACTCGTCCTCACATATTAAGTTGAGGCTTACAGTCCTACCATTATCCAGACAACCTGCCTGGTATGACAGGACTTAAAGAAACGTGTAGGTAAATTATTTGGTGTTCTAAACTAGATCAGATAAGGATGAGAATAAGTTAAAATAAGCTATAATGTCAGAATGCAAACTAAAAGTACCTTCGAGATTATCGGAATAAATTAATGATAGTGAAAATTTGCAATCCTTACTAACTGCAATATTGATGAATTTAGTTATTGACTGATAGCAATGGTTATTCTAATGTTGATTGGACTCAAGTGAATTTATTTAGTGATAGTTTATTGTCTTTTACATGCACAAAGAAGAATACCATATGATATTTGATATTTGTGTGTCACCAAAACCATTCAATGATCAATATTGAGATATTGAACATAAGATTCTACCTGATGAAGATGATGAGTTCGTTGATGAGATTATAAATTCTTATTGACTGAAGTGTTAGCCGCTTGTGTTACGCAGTTTTAACCATTAAATATCATTTTTATTAATATTACTGTTGCTACATTATTTCAACTCATCACATCTTGCTATTGTGGCAAATGACAACTTGAGTCAATGCATATTTGAATTTAAAGCGAAAGTTGTTTATTATGCATTGAAGTAAACATTTTCAAAGGAAGAATGTAAGCGTGAAGTAGTGAAGTAGTCGAACGTGTAGACCGCTTCACTTATCTGGGGAGTCTCATCAGTGCTGATGGCCTGGTGACTGATGAAATCTCAGCATGGATACAGAAGGCTCGATTGGCTTTTGCCAACCTGCGTCACTTATGGCGTAGGCGAAATATCCGTTTGCTGACTAAAGGACGACTGCACTGCGCAGTAGTTCGCTCCGTCCTACTATATGGCTCTGAAACATGGCCATTCAGAGTAGATATTCGTAGGTTACTGGTTTTCGATCATAGGTGTCTTTGAAGCATTGTTCGTATATCCTGGGACACCCAAGTTAGCAACATTGTTATTAGGACACGGGTGCTAGGTAAGAACGGCAGATCAATAGATGAAGTAATGAAACTTCACTAGTTGAGGTGGTTGGGACATGTGTTGCATATGCCTAACCACCTACTGCCGCGTCGAGCTATGTTTTGCAGTGTAGGAATAGGTTGGATGAAAGCTAGAGGCGGCCAGACCAAAACATGGCATAAATCCATGGAGTCATTGACAAGTGGACTGAGCCATGTTTGTAGGTGTCGACTACCTCGTTGGAGTACGCGAGATGATAATAATCTATGGTTAGAGTCCCCGAATGACATGGCTCAAAATCGTTTGCAATGGCGCCGGTGCATTTATTCTTTGTGTTCTATCAAACTCCAAACTTTTAAATTCTTCATCACTTTATCTTTTTAAGTCTATTTCACTAGATTCTACTTCTTGACTAACATCTTCTGATCCTAACCTCTCCGACTACTGCTAATACCTCTACTACCTCTACCACTGTTGGATTTGAATTGACAATCACATCTCTGTGCTAACGTGGGTTAGCAACATAAACTGATGTACGTACGTACGTTCCAAGTTCTACGTTGCTATTGATTGACTGATTGATTGATTGAATGTAAACGTTTGTAAGGAGGATTGTTGTGAACTTGACAAATATGGTGTATAGTAAGTATATTAGCATGATAAAATGAAGTTTACATAAATATCAGAATAGTAGAAGTAGTGGAAAAGATAAGGCATAGACAGATTATAATTTGATCAATTCCTGGTAGAGTTATGAGTTTATTTACAATACCAAAATGTCCTCTTATAATAGGATAGAACAATCGTGTACTGATCTCTGTTATCCGGTGTTTGTCTTGAAAAGATCCGTGTGTAATTTTGATTATTTCCTCATCTTATTCTAAACCAAAAATTACTCAATCTAGGTTTAAGTTTCAACAGACTTCACCGATTAAATCATTGCATTTGATAATATACGCAAGATCTGATTTCCTCTATCCGCTTCCAATAATCCCAGAGATTAAAACTACACTGCAATTTGAATATACAAGGGAAAAGTTGCGAAGATCAGTTTACTCCAAGCTTACTTTATGTATAAACAACAATGAGGGTATCAACCTTTAGGCTTCCTAAGGGTTTGGAAGTCATACTACTTATAGTAGTGATATGGTTAAAATATTCAATAAAGAAAAAGAATCCTGACACATGATTTTACAAATGTGCTATCAAATCCTGATTCGATAAAAACGGTCCTGACGTTTCTCAGTCTCTGCAGACTTATTTCGAGGGATAGTTCGGTGCTGGCCAACGGTCATCAGTGTGTAATGAATGACAAACATATCAAATTATAACAAACTTCACAAATTTCAGTGTCGAATTAAGTACAATACGTAAATGAAAAAACTACTAGGTACGCATCATTTTAAAATTCATAACATTCACGCTCATTTATGTTCAATGAAAGACAAGGTGATGCACACAGAGGACGGGTGTATACAAAGCTAAAAACATTAAATATATGAACTTTTACATAAACGTTTCTAAAATTTATGATAATTCTAAGCTTCGGTAAGTTTTTCTCTATATATTCTTATTAAAATCCCATATCTCATCAAACAAATCAGTTAAAATAGTTCTATGTTGGAGAAAGAATTCAAATTGAACTGTTGTATGTGTATTCAGCGAAAAAAAAGTCAACTACGTATTGTATTTCTCATGAAGAACATGTTTCACTTGATGAAAGGTTCAGCAATTAAAGACAATTGAACATGCGCTTCATTCTAGTCAAAAAATATTCAACGATAAATACTGAAAAAAACTACAGTTTGTTGTAGTGTTCCATTGATTGTTAAGTTAGGCGGTCAAACAACAAGCTAGGTTATCTGAAATAGTGACAAAGAAGAAACTTGACTAGACAACAAACATGGCGTAGACGTTAAAAAGTGTAGCACATTTTAAACAGCGAATTCAACACCATCCAGAGGTCTGCGTTACTTAAAATGCTCAAATTATTATTATTATTATCGTCTTCAACTATGGTTACATGTGAACTGATCGTAGCATACATTTTAAAGTATTAAATTTACAGATGACATTGCTATGTTCGTCAACCTTTTTTTTTCAATGCTCATTTGATTCAATCCTCATTGGATTAGACAGAATTCACTAATGATCAGTTTGTTTAAAACTTCAGACTAATAATGGCTTCTTTTTTTCCAACGTAAAATGACCATTAACCGAAAAAAAGTAGAACGGACCCTCCGCCAGGTTGAAAATCAAAAACCAGAGGAGATAGAAGAAATGCCTACTTCAGTAAGTGTTAAAAATGCACAGAGAAACCGCGTGTTTTTAGTGCGGAGTGAAAATAGCCTTTTGAAATCAATCACTAGGATTAGTGAGTGATGCTATGTCATCATTCAATCAGTTTGTCATATCAGAATCCCAGAAATTCTATCAAGCTTTGATTAAGTGGGAGCGCTTCAGCTACTTGGGAGACTCTGGAGACTTCTATAAGCCATCCCAAAAGTGTACAGTGGAAATTTTAGAAACAAAAACTATCAGAGTTGAGACTGTGTTATTGTGAAAAATATAAGTTTATGTCACTACCGAGGATTTTGGAGATTGTCTAATTCCATTGATCTTAAAGTTCGACAACTATTAAAAATCTTTAGATAATAAGTTTTGAATTCAAGTATTTCTATGATGGTGACTAATGATACTAACCTGTTATTCGAGCCAAACTGGGTTTGAGCCTATAATCTACCGCTTATAAACTGAATGCTTTAACCATCCACACATGTATTATTGTACTTGGTCCCATCTATAAAAACATTCGAAATATCTTAGTCCGATCGCATACCAATTTAATTTTAGGTCGTTTGTTTTAAATTGTTAATTTGCGTATGCGAAACTTAAAGGAACTTACACAACTATGTCTCATTGTTATTTGGATTATATAATCTAGTATTTTAAACAAGTATCTTACATAACAGATGCGGTCACATACCATTAGATGCCTCCGGCTCAGTAGTCTGCGAATGAGGGTTGTGGGTGCGTACCTCAACTGATGAGTCTCATACTAGGATAAAAACAGCAGTGTTTGTTAGTACCGAGCATGAGTTAAAGGTTCCCGTCTGACTATATTCAACTACCTAGGCACTTCAGTATAGCTTAGTTAATGTTGAATAAGTTGACAAGTGGACCGATTACAATTTGATTAAAGGAATTCAATTCAATTGACATAGACAAGATAGACATCGGATTGAACACTTCTCAGTAGTCTATCAATCACGGTTATAATAAATATCTATGTGCTAACATTTTAGCCTATGAGACTAAGTGAGTCCGATTTAAATCAATCAGAAAGTACTAGTCCCACAAAAAATTTCGTGGTTGACATCTTATTAGGATTGCCTTGATATTACCTATTAGGATGTTACAAGTTTACATAGAATAAATGTGAATACGGTTAGTAGTAGGATCCAGGCGGCTCATCCGCTAAATGTACCTGCATCTCAGAGTTGATGTACACTTCGAAACGCAACGAAACAACGTTATCCATTTAGCTATTGAGTCCAAATAACCACTGTGGCCAATATATATAACTGAAAAATTCCTTAAATAACACTAATATCATGTCATGGATTCTACTACTAGTCACATTTCCACTTATTTCATGCCATGAAAATGATTCTTTGCTAATAAAATTCAAATAATACAACAGTCTATTTAAATGAATGAACAGAGATATATTGTGTTTTTCTCTCTGTACATTGTCTATAACTTATTAAGATCAGGATAACAATCTCTCTCTCTCTCTGTTGTTTATTCTATCCACAGTATGAATATATATACAATGAAATATGAGAAGTTTGTAGAGCATTTAATTTGAAAATAAATAATTGCCTATTTATTGGTAAAAAAAAGAATTTGTTTTGTTATTGTTATTATATTATATTTATTTAATTACTAATAATTATAGAGATATGGAGAATGTTGTCTGCCAGTGAAATCATGAATCAATCATTGTTAGACTACCATTATTGAGAAACTTGAAAGCACTGGATAGCCAGCCATTTGGTCTTATAGTAAGTATGGAACTTATTCGTCACAGTGCGCACCGACGACCTCCACTCACGAGAATCGAACTCAAGACCTTCGGTCTTGTGGGCGAATACTTGACCTCTAGACCACTGAGCTATCCGGTATCCAACGGTGTTAATGTCCAACTTTGATTAATCTAAGGTAGTGGGCCACCTCACCCGACAGGGGTGGACTCCATTTGTCATGAGTTCTTACTAGAGCTTCGAGAATTTCCTCATGAAGCTAGTCACTAGTAAGCACATTTTTTAAATTATTTTTTCATCATACAGTATGAATTAATATTGTACTATTTAGCTGAACATTAATATTACACTCGATAAGCTTAGTATTTTAACTTGACTTAATCTTTGTATGCTCAGATGGTATCAGAAAAAAAACTAGTGTGACATAAAATGTAAGGAAGATTGTAAATCTGGTCAATGTGTGGTGCGCGCTACTTATAAGTAGTATATGACGTGAGTGTCAACGTAATGTCTGGCAGCAGAAGATGGGGGAAGATCAAGAGAAAGGAAGAGTGGGAACACAATGGAATTTGTATGAAACGCATGAATAGTGAAATGTCAGACAATGGATTGATGATGGATTGAAGATTTGCAAATTAACGGTTTACGATATGGTTTTCCTATTTTACTGAGTAACTCTGTAATTTTCGTTAAATACAATTCGGTTGCCCTCACCTGTGTTCTCCTTCACTACATTTGGTGTCGCTGCCTACCCAAAGGATGAAAATTCCATGGCCGAAGGAGTTTGAGGCCGTGGCGGAGCTGGTGGGTGTGAAGGAGCCGAAGGCGAAGCTGGTGGTGCGAAGGACGCTGCCGAGAGGTAGGGCAAAAGCCGTATATGACATCTTGGACGGTGCTGGCGGGGAGACGACGTGGGAGACGGTCACCCGGCGGCTGATGACGGAGTTCGACAGCCCAGTGGACAGGGAGTAACTCTGTAATTTTCGTTAAATACAATTCGGTTGCCCTCACCTGTGTTCTCCTTCACTACAAATGGTCTTGATTTTAAGATGTTTTTAATAATGCACATCGTAATTTTTTTTCCTGAAGAATCTATATTCTATCCCAAAGTTTGTGCTAATGATGTTGTTCACAGAAGAACAATGAAACCTTCACAACCAAAACATTCAGCTCAGAGAATGAAACTCCATCATAATCATCCAGGTGAATGACATGTTTTCTCCACCATATCAAAATTTATCTATTAGAAGTAATGATTTAGTGAGTCGATCAAAAGTAGCTAAATGAGAAGATTACTTGCTGATCATCAGAAATATCCTAGAAACATGAATGTTAATCATTTTCTGAAGGGATGCAAGAGTACTTATTTGTATGTATGATTCGGTAGTCAAATATACTTTTTAGTCCAATTCTATTTTCTTGTTTAGGTAGTCAGTTTTAGGTGGAGCGGTTAGTAGGTTTCGTGTTTAGATCCCAGAACCGACGCATCATAAAAATTAACAAATTCTTTTGTCAAATAAGAATGTGAATCGGTTTGACAACGTTTAAAAATGACAATTAAGTTAACTCTTGATATAATGGCTGACTAGTTCAACTTAAGAAAAATATTACAGCAACCGAAACTACTTGATTAAAACATTTAAATGTTTATTAAGATCAATGCTAAGGTTGAATTTAATAAATTCAAATATATTGAACATTGAATGGAAAGTTAATAATAGTCAAAATAAAATAATCATTATTTTCTTGATGATATCCCAATGAGTGTGGAATTTGGTATTTCTAACGTGTTTCATGACTTCATGCGAGTCAATTCAGAGTTAAGAATAAAAATTTTTCACAAGTTTAAATAATTAAACACGGAAACATTGTAGAATATGCTTAGTACAATGAAAATCATGATCGTTTTGAACCCGTCACTATCATGTCATACGTCGGTCAAGGTGATTCTGCGTCAGACCTTAAAGTGTTATTTGTGTGCATGATGACGGATGGGTAAGACAAATATGTCATTTATGACATGATGAAATAATAACCTTTTTTTCGTAAATTTGTGCATTTCTCTAGGTATTGAATTGAGTCATATACGATTATCGGAATCAGTAGTCCAGGTTCGATGCATAGTTAGGCATTCTTCCCAGTCGAGGGTAGAAGGATATGCTGGTCTTCAACTACTTGTCAGTCTTTATCGTTGGAAAAATCTTTTTAAATTATCATGATATTTTTAATATCAATATCGTGGTAACTGAAAATAACATATAGTGTTATTGTCGATTCTGCTGGATGCTTAAATCGTTTGGGAAAAGTATAGTGTGCACTGACGACCTTGAGTGGCCTATTAGCCAATCAGGTGAAGCTGATTAGTTATAAAACACTCAGCAGCCAAAAGCCATAAAAGAACAGTGGAATAAATGTTTTTATCTGAATACATAACCCTCACATTTCGGATTATTTTTTGTAATCGGAAAGGAAAACGCTAAATGTACCAATTAAAAGTTGGACTTGTGTTATGAGTTATGGTTATCACCTCACAGAGTTTTTGTAACCGATTGAGACTAGCAGTGATGTTAAAAGTCTAAGGTTAAGTATTACAAGTTAATCTGGAGTTCTGAATTTCAATTTCCAAATTAGTAGTGAGATTTTCATCATGAACTAACATCACTTATAATGTAATACTTTGTCATTCTACTGAATACAAACTTAAGAGACTTATAATTGAGATTTAGAGTAAGAGTTAGCAAGGAACGATATTATCTAGTTACATTAAGCAATACAGATTACGCACGGAGCCATAACAAGTACTGTAACATACTATTTGCCTTGAGAGTAGTTATGTTAGCTTAAATAATAATAATAATAATCTTGAATTAACTTTTCGGTTTCAAAGATGAAATTCCTATTGATTTCAAACATTCTAAGGATCATACATACATTGCCAATTTCTACTTTGCTAATAATAACAGACAAATAGGTTATCTATCAAGTTGACCTGGAACTCTTCTAAGGTGACTGCCGCCGGTCCCATGTCCGGATAAAGGAGGAGGGTCGGGCACGGGGTTAGCGACCTCATCCCGTAGAAAACCAACTCGTTAGAAAAACGCTAACCAGAAAAATAATTCCCTGTTCGGAGGCCTATGCTCAACTGGGGCGTAACAGGCGCAAGTAAGTTATCTATCGCTGCACTTTCAAATTTCACACAAAATATGCATGGCTTAATAATTTTCATTCTGATTGGCTGACTCGAGGCGGTCAGTATAATTATACTTTTACGGCTCCTTTTGCATTAGCTTATAACTGCGCTCTGACATGAGTTGACATTTCACGAAAAGACTTTCCCATATAGGGGAGCTTAATGATAACATCTCTATCTCTCTCTCTTTATCAACTTGTGAAACAATAAACGGTTCAATAAACAACTATTGCTTAGACATTTAAACAGGCTATTTGCCGTAGTTATAAACATTTAACATGCAAATTGTCATACTTACTTGACTAGTTTCAGAAAATAGAACACTTGTCATATTTGATTCAGTAGATATGGTTTCTAAAATAAACGGATCAACACTGTTAAAAATGAAAAAAAAAATGAAGAGAAATATTGAACATTTTGAGTGATTTAAATTTGTTAGATAGAATAAAAAATGCCTGAAAACCTATTGATCTGTTAAGAGAAAAGCGTATCGTTACATTTTGTTGAATATTTCAATCTGTTATTAACTGCGTCACGAGACAAGCCCTAACACGGAACCCTCAAGGCAAAAGGAAAAGAGGAAGGCCAAGGAACACATTACGTCGAGAAATAGAGAAAGATATGAGAGGAATGAACAAAAATTGGACAGAATTGGGAAGGGAAGCCCAGGACAGAGTTGGTTGGAGAAAACTGGTGGGTGGCCTATGCTCCATTGGGGGTAACAGGCGTAAGTAAGTAAGTTAGTGGAGTCTGAATAGACACAATTTATTCACAAAATATGTGTGTATAATCTTCAGATATCTCTTTGCTATCCAAGCAGGTTATTGACTATGTTCTCATACATCTCTTCTGGTCTTTAGAAAATGTGCATACCATTTATTCATCACACCTGGACGACACAATATATCATCATCCAGGTGAAAAGTTACAGTTTTGAATAAAATATGCTGCTATTTTGATCATATTTCTAGTTATCATTCAAAATTATTAGTTAAATGCAAAAAGTAAAATATAGAGATGAAAAAAGATCAATAGCTTACATTGAATGATCCAAGTCCCATATTTCAAGAACACCTTCAGCGACTGCAGCGAATATCAGCGAATTATGAGATGACCAAGAAATTGATGGGACTGTAGTCTAAAACAGAAGCAACATTTATTTACGGAATAGATAGATGATATCTTGCGTTTTCGTAAGCGGAAGCTACAATTTCAATTCTAGACATGATTTTCAATGTGACATTGTGTAATCCAAAGAACAAACACTATTTCTGAGTTCTAAAGGTTGTGGATTCACTTGTTATTGAAATCATGGATGCTCACTGGTGAAAAAACTTATACTAAGATAAAATAAATGTTCAATGTTTCTAGTTTTTCATAAAACTCCGCAAACTTCACAATTTCCTATTGTCAGTAATTGAAACAAAGCTTGGAACCCATGTGGTTATCATCTGTATTACTCCCCATGCGAAAGATTGATGATAAAATTGATTATGTGTAAGTCGTCAATTTATAAATCCTGCATTCGCTTTCTGATGTACTAGGTAAGTAGCTACCAACTTTTACATTTGACATGGTTGAACTTCATTGATTTCGGTTAGAATGGATTTTTCTCACTTTTCGTATTGTTATCATTATTATGATTATTAGTTGGTTCATTGCCACCCTCGATTAAACTGCTTCTTTTTTAAAGATTCTAATTTGAAATCGTTAGGTGAGCAGTGAACAGCCTGTAACTGGGTACATATGTAAATCAACTCACGTTCCTATACTTTCCACATAGATAAAACAGTGTTTATGAGAGAGGGTGCTTTTTTTTACTGATTAGCGATGTTTTAGTAGGTCAGTTTCCTACAGGATGAGGTCTGTAACGCTAAGCTAAACCTTCCTCATTTATCCGGGCTTCGTAATGGCAGTAACACCAGAACGGCTCAACGTGGAGTTTAGAGAGAGGGTCATATTCTTCCAATGGAATGTTTAAAATCGGGAAATGAATAACGTGAAATAAAATGCCAAAATTTAAAGAAAAGATATAGAAAGAAAGGATTTCAGTTGTTGGAGTCAGAACTTTTTGATTATACTATTTAAAAAGCTGGCGAACAAATGGAAGTTAGTATTGTACAATAACAGTTCAGTTGAACAGTAAATGACATTTGGGATTGATGGTCGCCTATCTTGGTCTTCAGCCCTTTAGATTTCTTCACGACCTCTGTTATGTTATTCCGCATTCCATTTTGAAAATGAATATCAAACTACATATGCAATTTAGTTGCGAAAAGTTTAAAACTACCATATAATCTCATTCAGCATATAGACATATTATCCCACAATTAACCTCAGCTTTATATACTTGATGGTTTAATTACACACAAGTAATATTTCAAAAACATCTCTGATGAAATGTTAGCACCTTAAGCATACCATCTGCTTCATGGGCTATACTACACAGTTACTTGCTCACATTCGCCTGTTACCCATAACAGAGAATAGGCCACCGACCAGCATTCTACAACCTTCTCTGTCTTGAGTTTCCCTTCTCAGTTCTACCGGATTGCTGTTCACTCTTCTCATGTCTGCTTCCGATTCTCGGAGTAATGTGCTCTTTTGCCTTCCGCTTTTCCTTTGGCGTTGCGGATTCTGAGTGAGGGCTCGCCTTGTGATGCAGTTGGCTGCTTTTTGCATTGTATGTCTTATCCAGCTCCTGAGCTTTTTCCTGATTTCTTCCTCAGCTCAAAGCTGGTTTGTTCGCTCCCACAGCAGGTTGTTGTTGATGGTGTTTGGCCAACGCATCCAAAGTATCTTGCGTGGAAAACTGTTAATAAACACCTGCATCTTGTGGTTTGACGGCTTTTATGATTCCTGAAGTTTTCGCTCCACACAGTAGACCACCTGAAATTTGTATTGAATATTCTGACTTTGGTTTTGGTTGATAGTCGTTTTGAGTTCCAAATGTTCTTCAGTTGTAGAAACGCGGTCCTTGCTTTGCCGATCCGCTCATTCACATCTGCGTCAGGTTCACCTTGTTAATCAATGATACTTTTCACCTATGTAAAGGTTTCTGCATTCTCCACAGCTTCTCCGTCAAGCGTGATTTGGTTTCTGTATGTTGTTTTGTATCGGTTATGTCGCTTTTTCCATTGTGTATGTTGAGACCTACCACTGCTGAGGCTGCTGCGACACTGGCCGTCTTCATTTGCATTTGTTATTGTCGGTGGGACAGAAGGGCTAGATCATCTGCAAGGTTCACATTGTCTAGCTGCATCCGAGCCATTCACTGTATTCCGGGCTATCTCTGAGATGCTGACATCTTTATAATCTCATCAACCAGCAAAGTTATCTACTGAACTGTACACTTGCTTTCTGATAGACAAACGGGTAGCACACAGTTCAACATCGTTTTAAAATTCTGTCACTATATTTAGCTAAATTCTTAATTTTCACACTTACTATGTCAATCAGTGCTGACTAATTACAAGAACAAACTTCAACTAAGTACTGATCGATGAACAATCGATTTTCCATTTTAAATTCCATAATTATTGGACTAGTTTTGTTTATCATACAATATTAATCGCTTTGTATTTTTTTTTCTCTCTCCAAAATATCAGAGAGAAAGTAAAAAGAAACCATCATACGAGAAATTCCGAAACCTTTCAATGTTCAATAATGGAAATCATTCCAATCAATAGTTGATATAAATAATAAATATTGAAGAAAGGTGGTTATCGTTGCGTTTGTTTATATTGATTACAGTGCACTGTTTTACTACTAGATATGCTTCTTATTGGCTTGTTTATTTCAATCAGTTGTAGTTTGTGTAAACAATTTTAGTCATAAAATTAATATAACGGTCGATAGATAAACAGAACTGAAAGCTTACAAATATTTCTCAAGTGCACACATGTATAGCCAAAATCATGAATGAATCATTGTTAGACCACCAGCAGAAATCTGGAGGCACACTAGACAGCTGTTTCGTCCTAGTATGGCGCTCAAAAGCGGTGCGCATTCAATACTCCTGCTACTCACAGGATTAAAACCCAGGAAATCCAGTCTTGTGCGCGAACGCCTAATTCGAGACCACTGAGTCGGAGGTATCCAACATTGCTAATGTCTAACTATGATCAATCTAAGTATTGTGCGCAACCTCATCCACCGTCTTCGGTAGTTACTGCCTACACCCGATGGGGTGAAACTCCACTGGTCAAGGGTTATCACTAGAACTTCGAGAATTTTCTCGCGAAGTTAGTCACTAGTAAGAACATTTTCTAACTTTACATTATAGTATTATGCAGTGTTGATGAGTCAGTCCCACACCAGGACGAGACAGCCATCCAGTTCCTCCAAGTTTCTAACGGTCGTCAAACCATTATTCATATATGATTTAAATGTAAAACAACGCGATCTACAAACGTAAAATCAAACTAAGTTTTTTCATAATCTTTTCTCAATACTATTTTTCTAAAAGTCATGATTAATCATACTTAACTGCTAAATCTAATTAGCTTTTGTTCTGTTTTTTTTTGTAAATAACAATTAATTTCATGTTGATTTATATTTTTCTATTTTAAAATAACATTTTCACTATGGTTATCAAATCATGCAATTAACCAACTATTGAACATGAAACGCACAAATTTTGAACAGTTGTTCAATTGTTTTGTTTTTTAAACTTGGCGCGTAAACAAGAATTTCAATATGAAGAAAATAATAATTAGTCTAAAATTACAATTTATTTCTTAAACTCTAATTAGTTGAATAACAAAAAAATATTGGCGAAAAACATGTATTAATTAATTAATTTAGTTAGTTCGTTAGTATGGTAAGTCATTTTTTTATTGAAGAAACTCTAAAAGGAAATAGGATTCTTTTCATTGTAGAAGAAAGAAATATGAACCAGTCTCTAAATAGGCTTTTATTTTTGTTTTAAATGACAATAAGTTTAATTTACGAATATTTTTATTTCAGTGGTAAGAACGGATTTTTTGGGCTACAAGGTGAAATTGCATGTATAATAATAAAAGTGGAACATTAGGCATGCCGTACAATGAATGCCATTGTTAGTCAGTACATTTTTGTTCAATCGACATTGACTGCAGAGTGAATGTTTGCTGCTGTTTGTTTTTGTATCGCTCTTAAAATTTACAATATATTGATTTTGTCTTGAGAAGCAAATAAAAAATCGGACAACCAGTGATCGATTTCTCTAATAGACACACACTGACCAATGAACGACAACCATTGTATTAATGCTGATTGGTCCAGAAGTATATTGTAAAATAAGTGGCTCTATTCCTCAAGCTGATCAATTAATTTTCTATCGTGTACAGTTCAATTCATGACTAGAAAACTATTCAGTCATGCAATCACACTTTAAGCACAATTATACCATTAGGGCTATACAGCAGAGCAGTGATTCAGGTATCGTAAAAATGTATAGTAGCAGTCAACAGGGACACTGGTGGCTTACATCTGAACAATATATTCGTACTTATTAGCATAGGGAATTCGTGGTAGATTGTGGTATTTTCCTAGTCGAAATCATGTACTGATCCTAGTTACGTCGTTCTTGAAATCCTGGGAGCATTGGAAGGCTGTTTCGTCCTAGTATAGGACTCATCAGCTGAGTGCATCCACAATCCTCAGAAGTGGCAGTCAGAGTCAATACAATCAGGCTTATGAGTGAAAGCTTAACTTCTAAACTAGTGGGTTGCCTCTGCAATGCTGTTATTATCTAACTCCAGTCAATTTATGGTTCTGAAAAAACTTTCATCTACTCTCTATGCCGGATAGATGACTCACACTCAACCCGGAGTGAACTTCGCTGATCGTAGGTTCTCAATAGAGCTTCTGGCGTTCCATAATGAAGCTAATCATTAGTAAGTATAGAGGATTGAGACTCAGCGGTTTAGAGGTCAGGTGTTTGTGCACAAGATCAGCGAGTCTGGGTTCGATTTCTGCTTGCATGGTTGTGGGCATGCACTGTTGAGAAATCTCACACTAGGACGAAGCGGTCATTCAGTGCTTCCAGTTTTGCACTGGTGGTTTAGCAAATATATACAATTGTCTACTAATTAGAAAACAATGTAAATACTACTACTACTACTGTGGTGCGAGCTACTTATAAGTAGTATATGACGTGAGTGTCAACGTAATGTCTGGCAGCAGAAGATGGGGGAAGATCAAGAAAGGAAGAGTTAGAAAACAATGGAATTTGTATGAAACGCATGAACAGTGACATCGGATTGATGTTTTGCAACAGGAACAGTCCAGTTCGATATGATGAACTGATATTTTGCAAATTAACGATTTACGATATGGTGTTCCGATTTTACTGAGTAACTCTGTTTCACACCTACTCCTAATTTAAGCAAATCTTAATTTATGTTTCCATTATATACTATCAAAGCTTGTGACGACTCTCTTTCTATATATATATTCTTTTATTTACTTACCATATTTCTTTCAATTGTAACCAGTGGTTTTTGATGATCCGAATGCCATAATCTCATTGTCATATCAGCAGAACAAGAAAGAAATATCTCTGATACAAATGGTGACCATTCGATTTGATAAACTGATGCCTATACAATGAATGAAAAAAACAACAACAGAAAGTCATAGACAGACGTTAATCAATTCAACCAAATGGTAATAATAACCGAACAGAAAGATCAATGTAAACGTTTAAAAAATCGATTACTTAGTTTTCACAATAAGTGGAAAATTACTAGAATTTTGAGTAATTCATGGATAAAATCATGAATCAATGCATGTTAGATCACCAGTAGAAAGCTGAAAGCACTGGACAGCTATTTTGTGCTAGTATGTGTTGGGGATGTTAGATCCCTTAAAACTCGCTTGTTTAATGCCTTATTTTGGATTTCACGTTTGCCAGTATGGGCTGATCAGTTGACCTTGAGATCACATTTCCCACCAGGAAAATCCTTGGCTGTGATTGGTGACTGTGTCATTTAAGTGTGCTATTTTTGTGACTGTCCCAAGGACGTTTCTATGATGTATAAATAAACGAGAGTTGTATGCTTGATTGTACTGTGATTGCTGGGTGTTTGTAGAATATACTTACTACGCTTACAAAGCATTTTATCTTCAGCTTGGGATTCAAGGTAGCCTACCTGGACGCTGGTTTATTGTCTCGTTCGCGTTTATCGACTAAGGTGAACTCGTAATAGCTTCAAGCGTACCTAGTGACGAACATAACAGTATGGGACCCGTCAACAGTGCACATCTACGACATCCGTTCGTGGGCATCGAACTCAGGACCTTTGGTTCCGCGTGCGAACGCTTAACCAGTAGACCATTGATTTGGCGGCATCCACTGGCGTTAATGTCTAACTTCGATCAATCCAATGTCTTGCGCAACCTCATCGACTGTCTCTGATGGGCACTGCTTTACACCCTGAAGTCTAGTGCTTCCAGATTTCTAATGATAGCCTAACCATGATCACAAATCATCATTTCAATGAAACTCAACAATCTCCACAATAGATAAATCATCTTTCATAGTTCATCACCTGTAGGAGCATCGATATTTATATTCACTGAGTCAATTTTACATTAGTTGAGGATGAACATTATCCTTATTTGGAATCCATTAGAAAAAAAAACGGTTAGATTTCCTATTCACCAATGATGAATCAATCAAAAAATGGGAATTGTTAGGTGATACAGCAGTTACTGAATAAATTATCGAACAATCTTTTCCATTTAATAAAATAACAATTATCCTGACTAAAAAATAATGTCACAGAATGTATGTAACATACAGGTGTATAAACAAATCATTTATTATGCTATGCAATTTATTCGAATAAAATAATAATAATGTTAACACTGTGTCATAATTCATTAAAACAAAATCAAAATTATTCACTATTCAACAGGTGAATATTTATTTATTTAAACGTTTATGTCTTGGTAACTAGACAAACAAAAAATTATTTGCATGAATCAATATTTTGCAACATTGAAGGTTGAATTCTTTGTAAATGTTAAATTGTCAATGTGTGAGATATCAGTAAAAGTTATTTAGTTTAATTTCAGTAAATATTGAATAATTTAACAATGTGTAAGTTATATTCTGTGTTGGTCAGACACAATCAGTAACAAACTACTGTAGGAGAGAACAAACTAGATTTCGGCTGAGGAAGAAATTACGAAAACGCGCTGGAGGAGGACAGCACACATATTGCGGAAACCACCCAACTGAATCACAAAAAGTAAGTCTTAACTTGGGATGCTCAAGGGCAGACGAAAAGAGTAAGACTGTAGAGTACATTACGCCAAGAATTGGAGACAGACATGAAAAGAATGAAAAACAATTGGCTAGAACTGGAAAGGAAGGCCCAGGACAGTAGTTTGGAAAATGTTGGTCAGCACCCTATGCTTCATTAGGGGTAATAGGAGCAAGTAAGTAATTCTATGATTACTATGTACATGCACACTTACGCCTGTTACCTCTGAAGAAACATAGATCGCCGACTGTTCGGCTTAGCGTTTTTTGGCAAGTTGGTTTTTCAAAGGACAGTGTCGCCAATCTTATAACTAACCCTCATCTTTTATCTCCATTACCCAATGATTATAGCTCCCAAATGGCTTGTTACAGCTGAGAGTGTGGGAGAGTTCACTCTGTCCGTCTCTCTCGCTTTCTTGAAACGCTCTGGTATGGCCATGCGTATAAAACGAATGTAAAGGAAGTTCTACTCATTACCCCCTCTTGCGTCAGAGGTATTGTTTACCGAATTGAGAGGACGTACAGAGAGTTTCTGGAGCCTTAACCGAGTTTAGAGTTAGAAAACCCTGATTCCAAACCAATGGTACACATGGGCTCCAGGATCCTGACGGGACCAGTGGTTTGTGAACTTATTGGTGGCTGCTGGCTACCCTGGGACTACATCTCCTTAAATTGCTCTGTTGTCTCATGGGTCGGACTGTTGGATCAAAGACTTGAGATATGGCCTCTGAAGAAAACCACCTACTTCATTTCGGGCATCCGAATCCCATAAGTTGTGTAGTGCATGAATATTTATGTGCAACATTGTGCCAATGTTTTATATGTTGAAATAACAAAACGAAAAATCGTTTTAAAATAAAACATATCTAACTTATTGATATTTCAGTAAATATTACAATAACTGCACCTGAAGCCCCTTGGGCGCTACTGTCGGTCCCAAGCCCGGACAAAGGAGGAGGGTTGGTCCTGGGGTTAGTGATCACACCCAGTAGAAAACTAACTGTCTAGAAAACGCTAACCATAAAAATTAGTTCAGACCACTTTAACTCCTCCTTGGGAGTTAGAAGGTCCTTATTTGGAACAGTTATGATGTCTCATGATGAAATCTGAGTTTCTTCAGAAGTCACGAGAATCATGCCCCTTGTGAAAACCTGATCAGCTATTAATTTAGGCATATTGAATGTTCGTACAATGTAGAAGACCGATAGAGTCATCCAAGCTGTTACAGAAATGAAAAGATACAGCATAGAGGTGCTTGGAATTAGTGAAACACATTGCACACAGGTTGGACAACTAATACTACCTTCATAATAGATGCAGTTATACTCCCGCTACGAGGAAGAAAATGCTGCACATACACAAGGAGTTGTACTGATGCTATCCCAATAAGCATAAAATGTACTGATAGGATGGGAATCTCATGAACCTAGGATCAGCAAAGCATCGTTCAAACCAAAGAAAGAGGGCATTACATTGATTGTCATCTAATGCTACGCGCTATCAACGATAACAATGGTGATGATAAGGATCAATTCTACCAGACGCTTCAGTCAATCGTCGAGAGATGCTCATTAAAGGATTTAACTGTTCTGATGGGAGACCTAAATGCCAAGGTTAGCATGGACAACATTGGATATGACGACATCATGGGACGATATGGACTGGGAGAAATGTAGACAGACATGAGAAGAATGAACAGAAATTGAACATAACTAGAAAGGAAGGCTCAGGACAGAGTAGGGTGGAGAATGCTGGTCGGCAGCCTATGATTCATTGGGGGTGACAGTAAGTAAGTAAGTAAGTAAGCAAGCGAGCATGTAAGTAAGTAAATATTACAATAGTATGATGAATACCAAGTGAATATTATAAAGATTTCCAATGAAATAATTTCATTATACCAAACGACATTTATGCGTAAAATGTATCTGCGCGATAGTGAAGGAATCTAAAAACCACGTCCTTCAAAAGTATCTAATCATCAACCACCATAATTGAGTAAATCCCACTCAAGTAGTCTACATTTATTAATGTGACGGTCAGTCTAGCTGTTAGTGACTTCATAGACTTAAGCCACTTCTTAGTTTGACTATGCTTAGCTTTCTTCCAACTTATTCTTTTATCGGACAACATTGTCTGTCTAGGTAAACGGTAGTTGTGTACATTTAGAACACCTCAGTTGAAGAGGATTCACTATCTCATCAACTGATTTGTCATCTTTTACTGGTATTTTGTGTCCAAACTGTACGTTACTAGTTTATTGGTCCAAAAGTACGCTTATGAATTACTTTTCAGTAAACTCGTTAGTCAGTTTGTAGGCGGATATCTCGCTTATACCACAAATAGCACAAACTGATAAAAGCCAAGCAGTACTTCTGAATTCGTACAGCAACTTTTTTGGACACCATTGCAACGAGTATCCCCAGGTAACGGGAGAGGTTGATGCAGTCAACTACACAGACCAGTTTTGAAGCAACATTTTGCATTTAACTGAAGAAAATCTCGTATCCTAAACATATTAGCATTGTTACTTCCAAATGATTTTGAAGACTCTAGGTTTGGTCAACGTCATCACCAAACACAGATACACAACATCGGCATATTCCAAGTGTAAAGCGATAAAACTTATGAAAGTTGGGGGAATGAGACATTTATCTGTGAAAGAGTGTCTGTGCTGAAGAAAAAACAATCAACCTGTACATTGGGGATAGTTCTCATTAATAAATCATTCAAATCATTCTTTGAATCTAACCATCTTATCAGATTAAATTCAGAACAGAATAGATTAGAGAATGCTGATTGGCGGCGGCCTTATTCTCCTTCATTAGAGGTAACAGGTGTAAGTAAATCATTCTCGCACATAACAAGAATTCAATCTTGACTAAATGTATCACAATCACATAAATCATCATAGACAACTGTACACCACAAATATTTTTTCGCAAAACAAATAATGCAGCTTTTATTCAACACCGAATGATTCATTTAATAAAGATTATTACTTGAAACAAGAAAAAAATGACAACTGTTCAGCAAAATCATGAAACACTGACGGTTTGCATGTTTTTCAATGAAACGGAACAGAAAAACTCCGGAATTTTTTCATCCTACTTCGGGTGAAATTAGAAAGATTTGTCGGCAAAACGATATTGGCAAAAGATAATAATCCACTAGGATAATTATTGATTAAAACAATGTTTTTTTTTGCTGCTGTTTCGTGTTTTCCTTCTTTTGCTAACCTGGGTAGTAGTACTAGTCATTGAAAATTGAATAGGTCAGCGATGAAGGTACAAGAGATTAGAATAATATTACTACGGTATGTGAATCATTTTA